ATTCATTGATAGTGTATGTTCATAAATGTCACATATTCGTCAGGCTTTTGATATATGTGAAGTAAACGTTCTTAACTCCTTGTGGGGTAGTAGACTCAGAGCCATGATGTTCTTCCCAGAACAATTCCCCACACACATTTTGCATTTATTTCAAGAGGCTTTGGGCCCTGAATCCCATTTGTTGACCCCCATAGGCTTGAGTTTTAATTGTGGTAAAAGTAGTTTGCTAAGAGCTGACTTGTTAATGGGTGACGAATAAATAATTTGGTTGAGTCAGCATCTGCCTCCCAGGCCGGAGTGCAGTGGCACAGTCACGGCTCACCACAGCCTTGACTTCCTGAGTTCAGGCAATTCTCCCACCTCAGCCTCCCCCGTTGGTAGGGCTATAGGTGTGTGCCACGTGCCGGGCTATTATTTTGATCTGGGCTATTATTTTGATCTTTTTTGTAGGGACAGGGTCTCACTGTGTTGCCTAGGCTGGTCTCAGCTCCTGGGCTCAAGTGATCTCCTGCCTTGGCTCCTTACAGGCAGGAAAGGGGTGATTTTCCATGACAAAATGTGCTGGTGTCTAAGCGCAGGGCCAGCACCATGCCAGAGCAGGCTTCCTCTTGTCATTTTGAAATGACTGTCGACTCACGGAAGTTGCAAAATGAGTGCATAGAGTCCCATGAGCCCTTTACCCAACGTCCTCGAATGGCGACACATCACTTGACCGTGGCATGAAATGGAAGTGACACTGGTAGGACGCTGCTGCAGACTGCAGACCTGGCTCCGTGAGTGCCCTGTTTTCGCCTCCAGTGCGGAAGGGGAATCTGTGGCAGCTTCATGACACATAGATTCCCATAACCATCACAACACGGTACAGCCGTCCCATTCTGCCAGGATTCCCCTGTGCCCCTGAGAGCAGCCCTGTTTCCTGGGCAACCTCTAGTCTGTTCACCATCTCTCTAGTTTGGTCATCAAAGGACACTTTGAAATTTATTGAACCGGCTGAACGTGGTGGCTCATACCTGTCAACCCAGCACTTTGGGAGGCAGAGGTGACAGGATTCCCTGAGCCCAGGGGTTTGAGATAAATTTATTGAACCAGGATTCCCTGAGCCCAGGGGTTCGAGACTGGCCTGGGCAACTTGGCGAGACCTCGTCTCTACAATAAATCAAAAAATTAACTGGGCATGGTGGTGCATGCCTGTGGTTCCAGCTACTTGGAGGGCTGAGGTGGAAGAATCTCCAGAGCCCAGCAGGTGGAGGCTGTGGGGGCCGTGGGTGTGCCACTGCACTCCAGCCTGGGCGACAGAGTGAGACTCTGACTCAAAAGAATAAATAATAAATAAATAAATAATATATTGAACCAGCTAATCTCCTAAAGTGATGGGCTGTTCTGTGGCTGTCAGTGGCCATTCACAAGTCTCCACATTCTGTGGAGAGGCTTTCAGCAAGACCCTAGGTCAAGGCCTGTTGGCTTCTTTGAATTCCTAGCTCGGTTGCCTGAGAGAGAATTAATATGTTGAAAGACAATAGTTTAGGGAAGAAAGAAGACAATCCTTGTTGAAGATACCTGTCTGTGCTGAAATCAAAGTGTGGAGACGAATCTCTAAACTTAACATTTTGGCCGGGCACGGTGGCTTAGCCTGTAGTCCCAGTTCTTTGTAGTCTTGGTTCAATAAATTTATCTCAAACCCCTGGGCCCAAGGAATCCTCTTGACTCCGCGTCCCAAAGTGCTGGGTTGACAAATGTGAGCCACCGCGTTCAGCTGGTTCAATAAATTTCCAAGGCGAGAGGATTGCCTGAGCCCGGGGGTTTGAGACTAGCCTGGACAATTTGGTAAGACTTCGTCTCTACAGTAAGTCACAAAAACTAGCCGGGCATGGTGGCGTGCATCTGTCGTTCCAACTACTTGGAAGGCTAAGGCGGAAAGATCACCTGAGCCCAGCAGGTCGAGGCTGTGGGGGCTGTGGGTGTGCCCCTGCACTCCAGCCTGGGCGACAGAATGAGACTCTGACTCAAAAATAAATAAGCCGGGCTCGGTGGCTCAGCCTGTAATCCCGCGCCTTGGGAGGCTGAGATGAGTGAATTACCTGAGCCCGCGGGTTCGAGACCCACCCGGGGAACTTGGCGAGACCTCATCTCTACAATAAATCAAAAAAAATTAGCCAGGCATGGTAGTGCGCGCCTATAATTCTGGCTACTTGGAAGGCTGAGGCGGAAGGATCGCCGGAGCCCAGCAGGTCGAGGCTGCGGTGGCCGGGAGCAGCCACGGCACTCCAGTCTGGGTGACGGAGTGAGACTCCAACTCAAAAAATAAATAAATAAATAAATGAAATAAATAAATAAGCTTAACATTTTATTTGGGAAGGAAGAATTGCAATTTAGGGCATACACGCAGGGCAGGTAGTCTGAAGAACAAGAGAAGGTTGGAGGTTTTTTTTGTTTTTTTGTTTGTGTTTTTGAGTTGGAGTCTTACTCTATTGCCCAGACTGGAGTGCAGTGGCCGGTTCTGGCCACTGCAGCCTCGACCTGCTGGCCTCTGATTATGCTTCCGCCTCAGCCTTCCGAGTAGCTGGAATAACAGGCATGTGCTACCATGCCCGGCTGATTTTTTTTTTGTTTTATTGTAGAGATGAGGTCTTGCCAAGTTGCCCAGGCGGGTCTCGAACCTGCGGGCTCAGGCAATCCACTCACCTCAGCCTCCCAAAGCACGGTATTACAGGCTGAGCCCGGCTAGGTTGGAGGTTTTGTAAACAAGAGGACATATTACGTGTTGTTCTTTGAGATGGCTCATTGGCTCTTGTAAGGTTCTGGTAGGTTTTGATTTGGGAGTGACAGCAAAACCAGTCTTCAGTCGCAGCAGGTTAGGTTACCTCAGCAGCTACTAGAAAAATTGGTTTTTAGCCAGGCTCGGTGACTCAGCCTGTAATCCCGCGCCTTTGGGAGGCTGAGGTGAGTGGATTGCCTGAGCTCGCGGGTTTGAGACCTGCCTGGGCAACTTGGCAAGACCTCATCTCTACAATAAATAAAAAACTGGCCGTGTGTGGTAGTGCACGCCTATAGTTCCAGCTACCTGGAAGGCTGAGGCGGAAGGATCGCCAGAGCCAGCAGGTTGAGGCTTGGTGGCCGGGAGCGGCCACTGCACTCCAGTCTGGGCAACAGAGTGAGACTCCAACTCAAAAAAAAAAAAAGTTTACAGTTGACAAAGAAATTTAGTGATTTCTGTTACACGTAGAATTTTAAGATCACAAACAGAATTACAGTGATAACATTAGATTTTTGTGAATTTAATTTTTGAGACATTTATATTAACAACATAGCTATAAATCCAGGTAGAGAACATCTCGTATCACTGGACAGCACAGTGAGACTCTGACACACATCCACCAAAAAACCATGACTCAGCCGGGCTCGCTGGCTCAGCCTGTAATCCCGTGCCTTTGGGAGACTGAGGTGAGTGGATTGCCTGAGCCCGCGGGTTCGAGACCCGCCTGGGCGGTGAGATCTCATCTCTACAATAAACCAAAAAATCAGCCGGGCATGGTAGCGCATGCCTGTAATTCCGGCTACTTGGGAGGCTGAGGCGGAAGGATCGCCCGAGCCCAGCAGGCGAGGCTGCGGTGGCTGGGAGCGGCCACTGCACTCCAGTCTGGGCGACAGAGTGAGACTCCAACTTAAAAAAAAACAAAACATGACTCAGGGTGCTCTTGCTGGTTTTGATGATATGGGAGGTCAGTCCATCGTGACTGGAATGCACTTTACACCTGAAACTAGGGAAATTAAATAGATCTCAGGATGAAGATGACTGTTAAAGAAATAGATTTTAGAATTAAAAGTCAAAGCCTCATGTAATTTAATTAAGAGCAGATCAAAACTTGTTGTTTTAAATATAGAGGACCAAGCCGGGTGTGGTGTCTCACACCTGTAATCCCAGCACTTTGGGAGGCAGAGGCAAGAGGACTGCCTGAGCCCACAGGTTCAAGACCAGTTTGGGCAACTTGGCGAGGCCTCGTGTCTACAATAAATTAAAAGATTAGCTGGGCGTGGTGATGCATGCCTGTAGTTCCGGCTACTTGGAATGCTGAGGCGAAAGGTTTATCTGAGGCCAGCTGGTCGAGGCTGTGGTGGCCTTGAGTGTGCCACTGCACTCCAGCCTGGGCAACAGAGTGAGACTTGACCTAAAAAAAATAAAGTTGCAGCAGGTTGGATTAGCACCTATTAGATTAAACTGGTAACAGCCAGGCTTGCAGAGGCCTGCGTTTTGGAACAGTGCTGTGTGTCCTCCCCCTGACATCTTGACTTTGTTGTAGTTGGGTGTGACAAGAATGACCCAGTTCATACGGTCAAATTTTACATCCATGTCACTGACTTTAGACCCGTGCAACTCCTTGTTAGCAGGAAGCACTTTTTTTTTTTTTTTGAGTTGGAGTCTCACTCTGTCACCCAGACTGGAGTGCAGTGGTCACTCCCAGCCACCGCAGCCTCAACCTGCTGAGCTCCGGCGATCCTTCCGCCTCAGCCTTCCAAGTAACTGGAACTACAGGTGCGTGATACCATGCCCGGCTAATTTTTGATTTATCGTAGAGATGAGGTCTCACCAAGTTGCCCAGGCAGGTCTCGAACCCGCGGGCTCAGGCAATCCACTCACCTCAGCCTCCCAAAGGCGTGGGATTACAGGCTGAGCCACCAAGCCTGGCTAGGAAGCACATTTTGTGTGGCCACTGTTCTCTCAGCTTTCTTCCCCTTCATTCCCACGGTGTTACAATCAGCTCTTGCGGGCACATGTTTGTTCTCTGGGCGCTTAGTCTTGGTTGCTGTTTAATCACTGTGCAAACAGCTGCCTCTTCGTTAAGAATCCGTGACTGGGAAGGAGGTGTGAGAAGGATGGCCATGCCCTTCTTTGGGAAATGCTCTCAACTCTGCTGGTGTCCTTGGGGTTTACAGGGGACCTGTCACATGTTTCTGGGTGGAAACAAGCTCTCCACTTACTTCCCTGCTTTCAAAAATTATTTCCCTAGCCATCGATGAATATAAGCCCCAGGATGCCACCACCAACCCGTCTCTGATCCTGGCCGCAGCACAGATGCCCGCCTACCAGGAGCTGGTGGAGGAGGCCATCGCCTATGGCAAGAGGCTGAGCGGGTAAGTGCCTGGGGCTCGGGGGCCCCTCCTCGGCCCCTGGCTGGCCCCAGTGGCCTTGCCTCCCTCCCTAACTGAATCTTAGTTCCCAAATACCACGCACTAAAGAAAGCAAGCTGTCTTTTTGCTGGTTTTTGTTGAAATGTCCTTTTTTTTTTTTTTTTGAGTTAGAGTCTCACTCCTTTGCCCAGGCTGGAGTGCAGTGGCACGCATGCTCACGGCCACCCCAGCGTCCACCTTCTGGGTTCCAGTGATCCTTCCGCCTTAGCCTTCCAAGTAGCCGAAACCACAGATGTGTGCTACCACCCCAGCTCTTTTTATTTTATCGTAGCGATGAGGTCTCGCCAAGTTGCCCGGGCTGGTCTCGAACCCGCAGGCTCAGGCAATCCACTCCGCCTCGGCCTCCCAAAGTGCTGGGATTACAGGCTGAGCCACCGAGCCCAGCCATGAAATGCTATTTTCTTTTTCTTTTTTTTTTTTTTTGAGTTAGAGTTTCACTCTGTCACCCAGAGTGGAATACAGTGGCTGCTCCTGGCCACTGCAGCCTCCACCTGCTGGGCACCGGCGATCCTTCTGCCTCAGCCTTCCGAGTAGCCGGAATTACAGGCATGTGCTACCACGCCCAGCTGATTTTTTGCTTTATTGTAGAGATGAGGTCTCGGCAAGTTGTCCAGGTGGGTCTCGAACCCGCGAGCTCAGGCAATCCACTCACCTCAGCCTCCCAAAACGTGGGATTACAGGCTGAGCCCCCGAGCCCGGCTGAAATGCTGTTTTCATGGAGTGGACTGCACCTGTCATAAGTGGATGGCTCGGAGAGTCTCGGCCGTGTGTAGACCATCATAAACGTCATCCCATTCAACGTTCAAAACATCGCAGACCCCAAACCTCCCTCCTTCCCTTTGTAGTCCATCTTCCCAACCTCAGCAACTGCTGATCTGTCTTCTGGATGTCATTTTATTATTTTTCGATAGCTCTCTCCATGTAAAACTTACCATCTAAGTGCACCGTCCCATGAGTTTTGGTAAATTTATGCAGTGATGCAGCCATTAGTAGAATCTGGTTTTAGAATATGTTACCTCCCAGAATGTTCCCTGGTACCCGTTGGTGGTAAGTCCCTGCTCCCTCACTCAGGCAACCACAGATCAGTAGATTTGTACTTTCTAGATGTCATTTTAAGTTTTCTTCAGGACAGCCCCTTTGGGTTCCCTCCCAGTTGAGGTTTTCTGTCCTCTCAACAAATCCTGCCTTCTAAAAAAATAAATAAATAAATTGTCTTCAGGGCGACAATGCACAGCTTGAACATAGTGCCAAGGAGGCAGTGTGAGCCCCATGCTGGAGCAGTTCCAATCCTGGTGCCCACCCTGGTTAGGTCCAGCCTACCTGCTGCTTGCTCTGACCATGTGACAGCTGCTCTGCACACAGCATCTGGCCCCTGCCCTCCCATGTGCATGCCCTCCCCCATCCTAGGTGGCTTCCCTTTCCTCCTCGCATGGTACTGTGCCCTCGGGCATCGGGAAGGCCTTGGTATTCCTGGTATTGGGTGACAATGGTATCTTGGCTGGACTGGGCAAGCCCCACTTTTGTGTCCAGCTGGCTCACGAATTCTAACCCTTAACACTCTGGCTGAAGACCTTTCCACGTGCAGTGGTCTAATGAGGCTCCTCAGGTAGTGGTTCATTTTTTTTTTTTTTTTTTTGAGTTGGAGTCTCACTCTGTTGCCCAGACTGGAGTACAGTGGCACGCTCCCAGCCACCACGGCCTCGACCTGGTGGGCTCCAGCGATCCTTCCGCCTCAGCCTTCCAAGTAGCTGGAACTACAAGCACGCGCTGCCACACCCGGCTGATTTTTTGATTTATTGTAGAGATGAGGTCTCGCCAAGTTGCCCAGGCGGGTCTTGAACCTGCGGGCTCAGGCAATTCTCTCACCTCAGCCTCCCAAGGCATGGGATGACAGGCTGAGCCACCGAGCCCAGCTTGTGGCTCATTTTGGAACAGCATCGTGTTCCAAGCATTGAAAAGACTGAAGACACTGAGAAGACGACTTTTTGTAAGTGCCAGAAACCTCGTTGGCCTTGTTTCCCTCCGTAACTGAAGTTGAAGGGTTCAGTCTGGGGCGATGAAAAGATTCCTGGAGGTGGATGGTGCTGATGGTTCCCTAGTATTTTGCATGCACTTCATTCCACTACATTTCATAATGGTTAAGGTGACACGTTTTATGTCATATGTATTTTACCACAATTTTTTTTTTTGAGTTGGAGTCTCGCTCTGTTGCCCAGGCTGGAGTGCAAGGGCACACTCACAACCACTGCAGCATCGACCTGCAGGGCTCAGGTGATTCAGCCTTCCAAGTAGCTGGAACTAGAGGCATTTGCCACCACACCTGGCTCATTTTTTGATCAACTGTAGAGATGAGGCCTCGCCAAGTTGCCCGGGACGGTCTTGAACCTGTGGGCTCAGGCAGTCCTCTCACCTCGGCCTCCCAAAGTGCTGGGATTATAGGCGTGGGCCACTGGGCCTGGCCTTATTTTACCTCAATTGTATTTTTATTTATTTATTTATTTATTTGGAGTCTCACTCTGTCGCCCAGACTGGAGTGTAGTGACCTGCTGGGCTCCGGCGATCCTTCCGCCTCAGCCTTCCGAGTAGCTGGAATTACAGGCGTGCACTACCACGCCCGGCTGATTTTTTTATTTATTGTAGAGGTGAGGTCTCGCTGCCCAGGTGGGTCTCGAACCCGCGGGCTCAGGCCATCCACTCACCTCAGCCTCCCAAAGGCTGTATTTTTTAATGTTTTAAATTTTTAATTTTTTTTATCTCACTCTATCACCCAGGCTGGAGGAGTACAGGGGTGCTCATGGCCACTGCAGCCTCGACCTGCTGGGTTCAGGTGATCCTCCTGCCTCAGTCTTCCAAGTAGCTAGAACTACAGGCACACGCTACCACACTGGCTGATTTTTTGATTTCTTGTAGAGACGCGGTCTCACCAAGCTGCCCAGGCTGGTCTCGAACCCGTGGGCTCAGGCAGTCCTCCCGCCTGGGCCTCCCCAAGTGCTGGGATCGTACACGTGAGCCACTGTGCCTGGCCTTACTTTACCACAGTTTAAAAAAATGCTTTTAGAGGGAAAAAAAGTGGGGGGAAAGAAATTTGGCAATGAAATAACAGAATTTGTTTTGTAGAATCTTGTGCACTTGAACCTCATAAGTTTCTAACCTATTTTTTATTTTTCCTTTTGAATTCCAGGTCACAAGAGGACCAAGTTACAAATGCTGTTGACAAACTTTTTGTGTTGTTTGGAGCAGAAATACTGAAGAAGATTCCCGGCCGTGTGTCTACAGAAGTAGATGCGAGGTGAGGATGCTTCCTGCACCGGACAGGCCGGTGAGGCGTCCCCGGCCCCAGGCGTGGACGCCGGCCCGGGCTGAGCGGCCGTGTGTCCGTGGCCTCCATCCCCCGCGTCCGGGAGGAGCTTTTCCCTGAGCTCCCGCGTCGGCACCCACGACCCAGAACTCCGTTTGGGGGTTTTTCTCCAGTCGGGGCTTCTGAGCAACACTCGTAGGCTACGGACCCCACTGAGGAACTCCGAATGGGAGACTGGGTTTTCAGCTGCTCCCAGAGCCACTCTGCACCTGTCCCATGAGGAGAAGGGAGCGGGCTGCTTCCGGTGTGGCTCTGAGCTGACTTGGACAGACACCCTGCGCCCAACACGGTCTGCTTGGGGGTGTCCTGCGTGATTTGCAAGGATGTGGTCCCCCTTGCTCCCACAGGCTCTCCTTTGACAAGGACGCCATGGTGGCAAGAGCCAAGCGCCTCATCGAGCTCTACAAAGAAGTTGGGATCAGCAAAGACAGAATTCTTATCAAGTTGTCTTCAACCTGGGAAGGAATTCAGGCTGGAAAGTGAGTGTCTGCCTGCAAGGACGGAGCTTTCGGAGAATCTGCCTCCGTTCTGGGGGAGGGACTGCATGGCGTCAGGCGAATTTGGCCCTCTCCGCCCTGGGAAATGCCGGAGTGGGGGAGCACAGCCCGCAGCGGGGACTGGGCTGAGCTGTTGTCCATGCAGGTCTGCCTTGGGCTTGTTGGTACTCAGAGATGAGAGGCTTCCTGGGAAGGGCCATCTCACCCCATCCAGCAGAAGAGAGGAGCCTCCATTTAACACCTGCAGATTTTGTCTTTCAGTTCTCTGTCCTGAATCAACACAAGCCTAAATTTACATTTTTTTTTTCCTTGAGTCAGAGTCTCACTCAGACTGAAGTGCAGTGGCACACTCACGGCCACCGCAGCTTTGACCTGCTGGGCTCAGGCAACTCTTGTGCCTCAACCTTCCAAGTAGCTGGAACCACAAGCATGCGCCACCATGCCTGGCTAATTTTTTTTTTATCTTATGTTGCTCAGGCTGGTCTCAAACCCCTGAGTCAGGCAATCCTCTCGCCTCCGCTCTGCCTCCCAAAGTGCTGGGATTATAGGCATGAGCCACCACACCCAGCCTACATGGTTTAAAAAGTAGATTATTGTTTATGCAAAATACACACTCAGAGTGGAACAGACAGAAAATGTAAAAAACAAAGTAAAACCCCTCTGATGTCCTCACCCAGAAGCAGCCGGGCTGACTGTGCTCGAATAGTTCATGTCAGCAAGAGGTGTCTGGCCCCACACCTGTCCGTGCACTTCCACATTCTACCACCACACCCTACCTGCAGCCTTTTTCTGCATTCTCCCTGTGGGTTGGCTGATTAGACGTTGCACATAAGTAGAATCAGGTACCGTGTGGCTTGGGTGCCTGGTGTCTCTCGGTGGGATGTTTTTGAGGTTTATCTTCATTGTGTGTGTCAGTGCCTTGTGGCTGATAGTATTCCACCATATGGATGGACCAAGCTTTCTTTCTCTGTTCATTTATTGATGGACACTTGGTCGGGTTCCATCTTTTGAGCTGTTATGGGTAATGCTCCTGTGAACATGCGTGTGTCTGTTTTGGTGTGGACGTGTGTTTCTGTCTTTCATGGAGCTACGCCTGAGAGTGGAGTTGCTGGGTCACTGTGTGACCACTAGAAGGACTGCAGGCCATTTTCCACCTCGGCTGTGCTGCTGCCCCCAGTGAGGGCGTGAGCACCCCCGTTGGCCACACGGGAGAGGTGTCTCTGAAGCTGGCCCCTGGAGAAGGATCTTGTGGCTGGAGGGGCTGGGCTGAGGTGTGGCTATCTCAGCCCATGGCCCAGCCACGTGGCAGAGTATGGGCACTGTCCCATCCTTATGGGTCAGCCCCAGGACATTCAAAGCGGATTGGGAATGGGGCAAGGGGCCCCGTGTGGCCGAGGGAGTCCTCTCAGTGAGGCCTGGGTCCCAGGAAGGACAGGGTGAGATGACGGGGTGAGGCCTGGACAGTGGTCAAAGATGATTCGGTGCTGGTAGCCTGGAAGCTGAGACCCAGCAGTCTGTGGGAAGGCGAGGGCCTGGCATGGGGGGTGGGCGGCAGAGGGCCTCACTCGCCTTCGTCCCAGTTTTGTGATGTGGGTGTGAAGGAAATTCCCGTCACCCCTGACCCACTGTCCAGATGTAACCCCGTTGAGCGCTAGAGATTTGTGCATAGCCGCGGCGGGATGACCTTGTTCCTGCCTCTGGGCAAGACACCACAAGTGTATCTCAGGCTGCAGCAGCACGTGCCTGGGGCTGCCCGGGGCTCGGGGCGGCCGCCCCGCCTGCGCTCAGCTGCCCCGTCCCCACAGGGAGCTCGAGGAGCAGGACGGCATCCACTGCAACATGACGCTGCTCTTCTCCTTCGCCCAGGCTGTGGCCTGCGCCGAGGCGGGCGTGACGCTCATCTCCCCGTTTGTGGGCCGCATCCTCGACTGGCATGTGGCCAACACAGACAAGAAGTCCTACGAGCCCCTGGAAGACCCTGGTGAGATGCTCTCTGAGCGAGGGGGGCAGCCTAGAGGCAGGAGGAGCCTCCGGCGGGAGGTGCCTACCCTGGCTGTGGTGCACAGTACAGTGCAGGGCCCGGCGGGAGGGCGGCCCAGAGAGGTCCGACGCCGCCGGGAGCAGGCGGGGGGTGGGCCTGGGTCGTCCGGGACACGGCTTGGTCTCCCCCCAGGGGTAAAGAGCGTCACCAAAATCTACAACTACTACAAGAAGTTTGGCTACAAAACCATCGTCATGGGCGCCTCCTTCCGCAACACGGGCGAGATCAAGGCGCTGGCCGGCTGCGACTTCCTCACCATCTCACCCAAGCTCCTGGGGGAGCTGCTCAAGGACAGCGCCAAGCTGACGCCTGCGCTCTCCGCCAAGACGGGTGAGCCCCC